GAGAGAGAGAGAGAGAGAGAGAGAGAGAGAGAGAGAGGTTAATGTGTGGTTGGATTGGGGACATGTAGTATGTGAACAGTGAAGAGTGGTTTTGGGGACATGTAGTATGTGAACAGTGAAGAGTGGTTTTAATGTGGAATGTGAGATTGGGGGGAGGACACTGACAAGATGTTAAAGGGGTGGGGTGAGAGAGAGAGGGAGGGAGAAGGAGCATAGAGACACACCGGATGTGTGCCATTGGTAATGGTTCCACAGATGCGTGACATAACGAAAGTGCTTGTTCAAGATATCTGAAATGTTATTGATGACAAAGTGGGGGTTTAGCCGGTATACTGGACATGCTCCTACTTTGTGAGCAGGCTGCACTGTAAAGTTATGGCCAGGATCCCAGTGAGCAAGGCCTGCCAGCTCCAAAAGGCCCTCCTGACCTCTGGCTTAAGCTGGCTTGTCCATTTTCTGAAGATGCAGCACAGACCACCACAGCTAAATCGAAGGCGAGGTGTATGGTACTTTTATGCTTTGAAGCCATGAACATAGTCGTATAAATTGCCAGGCTCCTCCTTTCTCGGCACAAACATAGCCGGAGTTGGGCCTGCCCGTTAGTCACTTTCCACTTGGTCACTTCCTTTATTGTGCACTATGCGCCGTCCTGTGATTAGTGCTCACAACCTTTATGTCGCACAGCATGTTCGATTCCATTTCTTTGGTTATATTGATGGTGGTACTTCGCTAATATGCCTGTGCAGATGTACCTCCCTGTTTAGGCAATCGGGATGAGTGCAGTTCGTTCATCTGAAAATCACAGGTGGAAATATCAGGTTCTTGTTGTGGAAGGGAGTCACCAAACAATCAAGGTCTCCTCTTTGGCATGCGCACATGTGAGTGTGTCCAGTGTCCACTGACTGTGTGTGACTGCGTGTGTGCTTTTTAATGATACGAGGGACAGGTGCACGTGTGGCATTAAGGAACAGCTTGATGTGAGAGTGAGTAGTTATTATCCCAAGCAGCTTACGATGCAAGCAACACTTTTCTTTATCAGGGAGTGCTTATCAACTGTGTTTGCTCAACTTTGCTGTGTGCGGTTTTCTTCCTTTTCAATTTGCACAACAGATACGAGTTTAGAAGGGATGCTCTGTGAGGAGGACGAAGATCAAGAAATGGAGGTTGTGAATGCGGACAAGGGGGTGGGATCATCGCCTGGGAATGAAACTGCCTCTTCATCTGTGGCAACAAAGCACACATCAAAAGGTCGCCGAGGGGCTGCTGGAGCAGGCGGCGAGGCAGGCACAAGTAGTGCCATTCCAAATCCGTTACAGCTACCTCCTCCCCTGGCAGTGTTACCGGATGATGCAGCAGAGGCTTTGTTCATGCGCCGGATATATGTGCAGATAATTGTGAGCAGTCAAAACCACACTCATGGACTGTTTTTTTTCCTGTCGCCTACATGGAGTTCTCCGCTGCCTTCTTACCCCCAAAATGCACGGTAATTAGAGCTGTATTTGGGGTATCTCTCCGTCTAAATACAGCTATAACGACCGTACGTTGTATTCGGGGGAAGAAGGTAGTAAAGACTGAAGTAGGGTCAGATAGAATGCCTGTCGCTCTGTCCGCGAAGCGGCCCACATACGTTGTGTGTGTGTCTTTGTGTGTTTGTTAGTTGGTACACATGAACTGTTGAAATAGACCCAAGTTCGAGCCAAGACAATCAGGTGACCAGAATAAAACCATTCTGAATTACCTTGGGGGTCAGTTTAAGCATCTTAATGATGATATCTCAAGGCCGTTGCCCTTTTTTTTCATAAAGAATAAAAAAATTGACGAGGGTATGTCGATCTAATAATAGATAAGGTGGAGGGAATGAATGCAGATCAATAAGGGGTTGATGGTGAAAGGAAAAAAAAAGGACTAGAATCCAACGAGGAAGGATTCACGCAGAGAACAAAAGGAGAAAAAAAAAGGAGAAGAGAAAGAAATACTTTCCTTTTGGACATCCGGTGAAATTGGAACGATGCAGACCAGATTAGCATGGCCTGTGCAAGGATGACATGCGTAATCAAGAAATGGTCCAAACTGGCAAACTGGGGGAACTTCTTTTTCGAAGAGAAACAGAAAAACGAAAATTACCCACAAGAGATGGGATGAAGACGCCGACTTGGTGTTGACAAGCACTCCCTGATAAAGAAAAGTGTGGGAAGGTTCCAAAACTGGGCTCGTATAGTAATCTCTCGATCAAAAAAACACTCAAAATTGAAAATTGACTGGGAAGGTTCCACACTTTTTCAAAAGCAGACTATTCTCCTCTCTATTACTACCAACTGCATTCTGGTGCCATCGTGATTGTCTTTGTCCTTGATTTCGAGGTTTATCGAGATTACGTATGCAACAGTAAACTCGGCTTCAAAAGCAGTCCTTTTGTAAGATCGGACAGGGGTAGAGCCGTAGTATATGTTTTCCGGAAGAGGACGTTATCAATGCGGCTGCTCAGACCCTATTGTCAATGACAAAGGGAGCTGTTGCGTGTGTATCAAATGTAAGGGACACTGGCCCCGGTTTCCAGCCTTTATTAATACACAAGTGGACACGCCGCAGGCGTAGCCACGGCACACAGCACAGGCCGGGGTGACAGGAGAGAGAGAGAGAGAGAGAGAGAGAGAGAGAGACTCCTCCTCCTCCCCGCTGTCCTCAATCCAGTTGCTGACAAAGTTTCTCAAAGGCCGTTCGAGTGTGTTTTTGATCGAGAGCTTACTATATGACACGAAGTGTTACCTATCTACTTCTCCGAACACTATATCCTGAGGACCTATGATAGTAACCACATCTGCGAGCAGCCAACACCCTTTCTCGCAGCCCCCCTTGGAACTGCACACCAAAACAGAGAAATGCAAGCTGTCCTTGAACCGTTAAAAAAAGGCTAAGAAAAAGAACCACCCACGCCCATGCTTGCAAGCGCACGTCGTGCGGCCGGTTCCCTACGTGCGGCGCACGTGCCCACAACCGATCCCGTGCGGTGCACGACGTGTGGAGGGAACGACCTGTCACCCCCCTCAGAAAAAAAAAGGCCGAGGTTGAAATGGTGCGTTTGAGGCCCCCCGCCAAAATTATCAGCGAGATGAAAAAACAAATTACAGGAGTACTGCCTCACCTTGCTCCTCCTCCCCTTCCTCATCCTCCATGTCTCCTCCTCCCTTCTCCTTTTCATCACCTGCGACTCGTCCTCCTCCTCCTGCCCTTCCTCATCCTCCTTGTCTCCTCCTCCTCCTCGTACTTCCTCATCTTCCATGCCTCCTCGTCTCCTTCCCTTCCTCGTGTCCTCCCCTTCCTCGTGTCCTTCCCTTCCTCGCCATCCATGTCTCCTCCTCCTCCACTCGTCCTCCAGCTCCTGCCCTTCCTCTTTTCCCTCCGTCCATCTCTTCTCCTCCCCCCATCTCAATGACTCCTCCTCGTCGTCCTCGTCCACATCCTCCTCCTATCCATATCCCCCTCGCCATATCTCCATCTTCCTGTCATACGCCCCCCCGTTCCCCCTCCCAGAAAAAGATAAAATAATAATAATAATAAAAATAAGAAACCTGCATGATTCCGCACAGGCACCCCCCGCACGGAACTCTGCACGGAACTCCGCACGAATGTGCGGCTCTTGCGGTTGCAAGTATGCCACGCCCCATGTGCTGCTGCCCGAGGCTCGCCTCCTCTGGGCTGCTCGACCTTATTGGGCCCGTTATGTCAGTTACCCGGTCCCACCAGCGGGCGTTTACCCCCAGTTTCTGTTACATTTCAATGCGGCCACAGTGCAGTCGTGAGATGTTCAGATTGGATGGCATGGCAGCGCTGGTGCGTACGCCAAATCACGTCTGAACACCCGCTAGTCGGACTTCTCCGAGGATGTTTTCGTGGGTGTGTGAACGACCCTTGTTTGTGTCTGTGTAGGAAATTAATTGCTTGTATTTGGATGTGGGACTGGGAGAAATGCCCCAAGGGCACGTGGGGCCAAGAAATGCGGGTCTCGCGTGACGATCCCATGCGAGAGTCGTGCATAGGTGCGAGGTGGGCACAGGGAAATGTGCAAGACCAAAATTCGGAGGGAAATTTGTGGTGAGCGGCAACTGAGTACAAGTAATAGCAATGTATGTGTGGGCTGCCACTTATGTCCATTGTTGTTGTTGTTTTTTCCTTTTGTCGTTTTCAGATCTACACCGCTGTGCTTTTTGTCTTTTGTGCGCATGGTGAGGGAGGGCATATTGGGGATTCGGGGCCTCGTAAGAAGAGACTGAATCTTGGCCTAGAACACGGACAGATGCACCCTCAAAAGTTTCCGCCGTCTGTCCATTAGGCACAGCTACATACAGCATATCTGTGGGCCGGCGTGCCTTGCTGTACATTCTCTCCGTTGTTTTCCCTTTTTTGTGGTTTTGAGCTTTTTACGTTTTTTTCTTTCTTTCTTTTGTTTCCATTTTGGGTCTCCCCAGCGTTTGCAGCGGGCATGTGCTCGATTGAATCTGTCAAATATCCTGTCAGGCCCCGAAAATGAGTACCTAAACTTCACCACATGTCTAAAAAAAGACAAAAAAACGACATATCTGTCAGGCCCCGAAAATGAGTACCTAAACCAATCATCATATCTTTGGCCAAATATCCTGCAAAAAGACTTCACCACATGTCCAAAGAATGTTCAGCTAGAACATGGGAAAACACATAAAAAAATAAAAGAGGACAAGTCTGCCAGCTGTGTCGATGTTATGTGCCTGATTGAAACAATATACAGCGTGTTTTCAGGTTCCCATGCACATGCGTGACGACAAGAGGTCTTGAAGAGAGCAATTCACACCACACCAGATGAGAGAATACACAGCAGAAGCACGGAAAGTTGGAAACCGAAAATAGAATTGAAATGAATTGCAGTGGCATGCGGGCTGTGCACTTGCCTGTTTTTGAGCTCTCCAGGATTCGATCCCATGACCTGTTTTGTCTGCTGTGTTTTTTTGGTGCAAGAGCCCAACTGGGCTTGATCCCTAGGTCTTTTTGGAGTAGTCTCTGTAGGCTAGCTGTAATACCACTAGGTCTCTCTGTTTTGTCCTTTCTGCCCTCGAGTTGTAGGTCGTTTCTGACCTCCCCTTTTGCCAATTTCAGGTCTAGATTTGGCTGTCGTTCCTACGACCTCCCCTTTGGCCAATTTTAGGTCTAGATTCGGTCCTAGGCTATAGGCTGTCGTTCCTAGGCTGTAGGCTGTCGAGTCAGGGAAAACAGCAGTCTACAAAGGTGTCGAAGGCAAGGAAAAACGGGTTCTGTCTCGTCATTTTCAAGTAAGCACGTTTGACTTCAGAATAGGTTCTTACCACGGCGTTCCATGAAGTGCTGCTGGAGGTCTCGTGCTGTTTGGGTGCTGCGTTATTTCACTTGCGGCATCATCTTCATGCTGCTAGGGCTGTCCTCCGTAGCTGGGGCTTCCTGGCTCTTGTTGTGACTGCGCTGGGCATCAGGTCCTGAGCGCTGTGAGGCGCTAGAGCCAACACACTACCACTCTCCTGCGTCCGACACAGCAATTGGCAGCGACCTCAAATCCCAGCTGCGGATGAAGAGTCCACTCAGCAGGGGAGCAC